AGGGAAAGTATATGTAGCTGACTGAGACAATGGCATGGCTAACGAGCTGATAAGGAGCAGGTGTGAGAGGAGACAACGAGGGAGCCAAGGGGAAAGGAACACACACAAGAGGGCAACAGAGGACAACAGAAAAACCTGAGAACTAACATTCAAGCTAGAAACTACAACAAAATAGGAAATAAACCAATAAAACTACAAAAAAGGAGCAAATTAAAGCACAACAGAACCAAGACCATGACAGACATAAATTAAAGTTTAACTGAAAACAAAAAAAAGAAACTTAAACACACTTAAAAACTCAACAGAGGGAAGAATCGTGATTAAAACATATTACTGTTCACCTTAAAGGAGAATAAACTATTAAAGCACATAGAAACTGTACATTTGCTCATACTGTTACATTACTGGCCTCACCCACCATCACACAGTCAGGCATTAATGTCATGTGGTCATTAAACAATACCATATTATGACTTCAAGTAGATATTTTAGCAATTAATTATTTCATTTGTTTGTTGTTGTTTTTTTGTTTTGTTTTTTTATTTTACTTTGAATTCAGATGAAGTAAAAGTAAAAAAAAATTTTGCCAGAGATATTCGTTTCAATTTAAACAATTTAACTTTGAACTAAACTAAAATAACGTGGAATTTTCACTTCCTTTAGTGCAGAACCACAGGCGGTTCTTATAAAATACTGTCCTGTGTTTTGGTTCCTGCTTCACAGACTAAAAGTTTGCGTTGAATCTGAAATGAACATTTTAGGTAGATATTGATCAGTCAAGACAAATGTTTTTAAAAAGTTTCAATCGGCCAATATAGGTTCACTATATGCTCACCAAATTTGTACCATTGCCTTCACTCCTCACTACTCATTCAGTGATAATATGCAGCATATAGATCAATGCTGCAATCTTTAGAAAATGCAGGTTTCCTCCTCGCCCTCCTTCAATGCAAATCAAATCTGGGTGTTTTTTGGCTTTAATAGACAGAAAGTAACAGGATCCTGCTGTAGGTATGAAAATATGTTCAGGTTTTTAAACTTTTAGCATCTGGTGATCTGCTTATGAGGGCAGGTTAGCTGGAAGGCTGGAGCCGAACAGAGATATCTAAAGTATTAATGTTTGTTACTCCAGTAGAAGTATAAATCCTGATTTTTAAAAAAACACTTTTGTAGAAGTTATAGGACCAACTTAAGCTTTTTATTCCAGGAAAAGTGTAAAAGTACCATTTTTAAAACAACTTAAAGCAGGGGTCTTCAAGGTTTTCCAGGCCAAGGACCCTAAACTGATGGTGAGATGGAGCGGGGAGGAATATAAAAAAAAGTCTAATCAACCAAAACTTTTGCGACCCCCATGCAGTACCTGGTTGGACCCTCTAGGGGTCGTGGACCCCCTGTTGAAGACGTCAGAGCAGGGAACAATTATACTGGTTATTAAAAAACTGTACACTACAAAAAATAGAAATCTAAATAAGTAATTTTTTACTTAACATAGGTGCTGTTTGTCTTGAATTAAGGAGTTAAGTTGGACAGTTTGCAAATGGAACAAGACAATTTAGATTTAGAATAAGAGAAAGCAAGTGTATTGTCTTATTACAAGTGCATATTTTCTAATTATCTTATTTTAAGTGTAAAAATACTCATTCCATTGGCAAATCATCCCAATTAACTACTAAGATTAGGGGTAAATACACTTGATTTAGGACATTTGAACTTATTTCTAGATCATTATTAAAGGAACATTTTTCTACAATTCTGGATGATAAATTCCTTAAACTTCATTTTCTTATTTTTATAATCAATGATAAAACTGTTACATTTAACTTTATATCATCTTGAAATACTTTTTATTTTGGTGCATAACTGAATCCAATGGCAAAGAAATGAATTCTCTGTTAAACGAATTATTTTAATGGTTTTCATTTTTTTCAAATACCATCAGGCCATAATGGAAATTAGCCTAAATGAAACAAAACTAATGAGTCTATTTTTTAATGTAAGGAGTAGAAAAAGTAGAGGTAATAAATAAATAAATAAAATTAAGGACTAGAAGTAGAAAGTTGTCTAAAAAAGCAATTACTCCATTAAAGTATGCATTGACAAAATTTCTATTTAAAGCTACAGTGTGTAATAATTACAGGGATATAAAGTCAGAAATTTAATATATTATACATAACTATGTTATTTATCATCACCTATGAGCTCAGCCTTTTAACCATAATATTTGCGTTGCCTTAGAATTCGTTATTTATAATTACATAGGAGCGGGTCTCGCAGCCATGGAGGCTGACATCTTTGCGCTACGGCAGCGCAGAGGCAACAAACTAGCGATTGCGAGATCTCCCATGACGCTCGAAAATAACTACGGCAAGTTGAGAGAGATGAACTGAGACGGTACTGAACAGTAGATGGCAGTATTATGCCTGAGAAGCGTTTAGTCTGCCTGAAACCAAAGAAGAAGAAGAAGCAGGTATACTGCGCCTCAGTAACAAGTAAGGTTAACAAGGCGGCAGGCGTGAGTGACTTTGCAAACTGTTTGGCACTGTGTGGCCAAACATCAGACGAATGGAGGATCATGCCTACTCTGTATCACAACGAAAAGCGGCGGACACCGAACCCCCGTCATCTAAGAAGCGGAAACACGACGAGAATAAACGCAAGCGTGACAAGAAACGGCAAAAAACACGGATCAACATTGGCACGGCATTTACACGATGGAAGTCACTGATGGAGGAAAAAGGTTTTCAAAGTGACGCTCAAGTTGCCAGTTTTCTCTTGGACAGGTAATTAATCCTACACACACAATTGTCTAATATCACTGCAGTTTTTGGAGTACAGGATGCTCAGACCTGTCTAAAACAATAACATGCTGCGTGATGATGCTGTTACTCTCCAGTATACTTATTCAGCAACGTCCCTGACGTTTCACAGGTAATGATTCAGTAATTTTCTGTAAAATAATTTTCTGGATATATAACTCGGTTACTTCTCTCCGGCTCCTTTGGAGATCTTCAAGCCTTTCCTCCTCTGCTCTCACCCCGCTGGCTCCCCTCTCTCGCCTGGCCCTAACTGCACGGCCTCCCTGCCTTCGCCCTCGTCCTCTCCCTCTCCCTCGCGTTGTAACCCCCGTGCCACCAAAATGACTTGGACTCTGTAAACGGGGAATATATATTCTTCCAGCGAACACAATCTCGCTGTTAAACTAATGACTACAATTACTTCGTCTGTTTATATCACCATGCAAAGCAGCTCACCAAAACGTCACAACGATGTAGAAAAAATAACGGGTATATTTATTATCTTAAGTCTACATGAAATCTATACCCTACACAGACTAATGAAATACTATCTGTAAAATTATCTATGTAAACAAACCTCATCACTTGAGAAGGTAGGTGATGCGGACGTCGTGGAAGACATTTTGTCCCGTAACGCTCGCCGTACTGTTGGGGGGGAGAAGCGGTGGGGGGGAGATGTTCATGTTGCTGCGGTCTGCAGTCTGACCGCTAGATGTCGCTGAAAATTACACACTGTAGCTTTAAGTAAAGTAAGGAAGTATTTGTTTCTTGATGCCTCTGAAGCTGAGTGTGATTTTTCTCCAGTCGTCCATTTTATCTCCAACCAGAAGAACAGCTGGTTCCAAATATTCTAAAACTTCTTCAGATCCCTCAGAAACTACAACAAATCTTCTTTCTTATGCTTCGTTTAACCCTGTTAACATTTACTGCTGCACTCAGAGGGAAACCAAACTGAATGTCTGTGATTTAAACCTCCTTCAAAATGCTGAGTCACAGTGCTGGAAAGATGTGAAAATGAAAACTTTACTTATCTTTTGACACATTTTACCAAAGATTTCAGCTCACTTGTATCTATTTCACATTCAAAAAGTGAACTTTTGCACGGATACAAGTGAGTGGAAATCGTTTATTTGGGTTTTAGATTATTTTGACTTTCCAGTAATCAAATCAAGCAGTAGACCTGCTGCAGCCTTATGCATTTTATAAAAAAAAAAAATACTTTTTCCTTATTTTTATTGCTTATTTTTTAAAACTTGATTTCAACACTGCAAAAACAATCAAAAAATTAGTAAAAATGTCTTAAATTAAGTGTATTTACCCTTATTTTGAGTAGATAAATAAGATGATTTGCTAATGGAATTAGTATTTTTACTCTTTTAAATAAGATAATTAGATAATATGCACTTGAAATAAGACAATGCAATTGCATTCTCTTATTTTAAATGTAAATTGTCTTGTTCCATTTGCAAAATGGCTCTTATCTCCTCAATTCAAGAACAAATGCACTAATTTTAAAAAGAAATTACCGTACTTATCTAGATTTTGTTTTTTTCCAGTGAAATGTCTGTATATTTTTTTCAGAAAAGTAAAACATATATTTTACACAAACCCCTCACTGCAAAAAATCTAAATCTAGATAAGTCATTTTTTCTTAAAATAAGTGCATTTGTTCTTGTATTGAGGAGGTAAAAGAGACATTTTGCCAATGGAACAAGACAATTTACACTTAAAATAAGAAAACACAATTGCATTGTCTTATTTCAAGTGCATATTATCTAATTATCGTATTTCAAGAGTAAAATTACTCATTCCATTGGCAAACTATCTCATTTACCTACTCAAATTAAGGGTGAATACACTTAATTTAAGAAATTTTTCCCTATTTCTAGGTTTTTGCAGTGTTGTTGCATCATCGTCACCATCCTTCTTTTAGGTGGAAACCTATCTATGAAAGTCCATCTAAAATAACCCCATGCTGTGCTGCATTTTAACATATCATTACCCTGCAACACTGTTAGTGAGAGAGTGAAAGTGCATGTGCACTTAAGTGTGTAAACCTGCATGCACAACTGTGTGTGTTTTTTTTGCACAATCTGCTGCCGTGAGGATGTGGTTAACTGAGTGCAGCAGCTTCATGCCGGAAGCTCCACGCATCTATAAAGTTATCATCCACAACTTTTTTTTTTTTTTTTTTTTTCCTGTTGCTGAAACTCTAACCCATGACAAAACCGTCCACTGCTGCAAACGGTGTTCTGCTTTCGCCATGTTTCCCAGGGTGATTCTGAAGTCTACCATGATCAAAAAATCTCAACAAAAGAAAAGAACGTCGCCAAGTAACTACAAAGAGAGGTTCTTCGTTTTAGACACTCAAGATCTAAAGTACTCTGAGCGTCGTCCGGGGGTAAGTCCTTACACTGCAAAAACGATTGAGAAATACGTAAAAATCTCTTAAATTAAGTGAATTGAGCCTTAATTTGAGCAGGTAGATTAGATGATCAGCCATTGGAATTAGTATTTTTTACTCTTAAAATAAGATAATTTGGTAATGTGCACTTGAAATAAGACATATTTTAAATTATTTTAAATGTAAATTGTCTTGTTCCATTGGTAAGTGTCTCACTTACCTCCTCAATTCAAGAAAAAATGCACATATTTTAAGAAAAAAAGTACTTAATTAAATTTTTTTGCAGTGTACTCTGTTTTTTTGTTTTTTTAGATTTACGGTATATCAAGGGATTTGGTATGGCGATGTAATATCTTGAATCTTTTTTTTGGTATGCCTGTAATGTAGAGGATTGTGTTTGCAGAAAAAGCCCATGCTGAAAGGCTGCATCCAACTTTCCAGGATTAAATGTGTGGAGATTGTTGTGAGTGACGCCCCTATACCCTGCAGCTACAAATACCCATTTCAGGTAAAGCTATCATTTCCCATAAATATGCCATACTAGAATAATATCCATTATATGCATTAATAAAGAGCGCCTAATATTGTTGCAGGTTTTCCACGACAGTTATTACCTCTACATCTTTGCCCCAGACAATGACTGCCGTCAGAGATGGGTCCGGGCTCTCAAAGAGGGTAATCTATGTTTGTAAAGATGAAAAATCCTATTATAAAAACAGTCCATCAGGGTTGGATTACCTTCCTAACATTGTTTGGTTTTTACTTCATGCAGAAACAAAGCACAACAATTTGGTTGCAAAGTTCCACCCAAACTTCTGGATGGACGGAAAATGGAAATGCTGCCAACAAAGTGAGAAACTTGCAACAGGTTGCCAGCTCTACGACCCTGTGGGTTACGGTTCGTATTAGTTCCTTATTTCCCCTCATTTAGGGCTAATCTCATTATGACCTATAACTGGATTATTTAAAATAAGCGCATTAATAGATAATTAATCAGCAACTTTAGAATACACTGGAAAAAATCGAAATCTAGATAACTCATTTTTTTCTTAAAATAAGCTGAATTGAGGAGGTAAGTGAGACACTTTGCCAATGGAACGAGACAATTTACATTTAAAACAAGATCAAAACTCTTTCATTGTCTTATTTCAAGTCTATATTATCTTATTTCCTATTTTAAGAGTAAAAATGCTCATTCCATTGGTAAACTATCTCATTTACCTACTCTAATTAAGGGGAAATATACCAAATTTAAGACATTGTTACTTAATTCTAGGTCATTTTTCCAGTATACAAGAAAAACCATTATACGTTGCAAAAACGATCTAGAAATAAGTCAACATTTCTTAAATTAAGTCTATTTACCCTTAATTTAAGTAGGTAAATAAGATTAATTGCCAATGTAATGAGGGTTTTTACTCTTAAAATAAGGTAATTAGATAATATACAATTGAAAAAAGACAATGAAATATTTTTTTTCTTAATTTAAGTGTAAACTGTCTTGTTCCATACTCATGCATTGGCAACTCATCTAATTTACCTGCTCAAATTGAGGCTAAATACACTTAATTTAAGACATTTTTACTTATTTCTAGATAATTTTTCCAATGAAATGCAAAACTAATAAGACGAAGAAACAGAAAAAGTCCAACACTGGAAAAACAATCTAGAAATAAGTAAAAATTTCTTAAACTAAGTGTATTCACCCTTAATTTGAGTAGGTAAATGAGATAGTTTGCCAATGGAATCAGTATTTTTACTCTTAAAATAAGATAATTAGATAGTATTCACTTGAAATAAGAGATGCAATTGTGTTTTCTTATTTTAAATGTAAATTGTCTTGTTCCTTTGGCAAAGTGTCTCTTTCACCTCCTCAATCAAAGAACAAATGCACTTATTTTGAAGAACAAAATGACTTATCTAGATTTGGATTTTTTCCAATGCAGGAGGCTGCTACTAAACTCTGAGTACGTATAGATCTACAGCTCTGAGGGGCGAATCTACATTAATTCATCTTCTGTAGAAGCGACAGAAACTGAAGAGAAGTTATAGGAAGTCACCTTTACAGTTTACCGCACGCAGTGTAGGAAAATCAGCAAACATACTTTAAAAAACTGCTCTTTACACTAAACTGTTTCTCAATGTGAGATGATCCGCCATCTTAGACAACATCTTACATTCAAAGGAAAACAAGGTTAATAACTGTGTGGCTTCTGTGGTCTGAAGTCTTTATCTACGAACATTTACAGAAGCCAGATTAAGTTCTTTCAGCAGCTAACGAGGACTAATGTCAAACATCATCCTGTTCTGTTCATTCACTGCTGTCTGTTGTGCATCCTCCCTCTTTTCGAGGTCACTCTGTACGTATGTTTGCACTGTAAGGCGTGAAGAATCAAACCTTTAATGTTGCAGAGGTTAGTGGAAGATACAGTAGATAAAGCTAAATGCAGGTCAGGCCTGAAGAAACCTGCAGAAAATTTAACACTGCTGTGAAACTGCTGAAGACTATGAACAATGGCCTAGTCAAAGCTCAGACCTACTTGTAAATGCAAATTAGGAGCTCCTCATCAGGTGCAACTTTGACGTTTCATTTGGAAGCATCGGAGTAGATCTGTTGATTCTGGGGAAACGATAGACTGAAAAAAATAATGCAACCGCTCCTGGCATTTATTTAATCATAGTTTGTTACTTTAACACAATTGTTTTATGTCCTACCCTAGCCCCGTGAGACCATCCTGATCTCGCGAGCTTTCAAGATTTCACTCGCTAATCAGTCTGGAGACTCTCCGTTAAAGAAAATTTGGAGCCGTTCACCAAACGAACGTCCAATCAGCGTTGGCTTTGAGGCGGGTTGAGGTGTGACGCAACGAGAAGCGCGACAGTTCAGTCTAAAGAACATGGCGGCTTCAGCCGATGAAACTAGCGTTAGCGTAGCTATCGAGCAAGTTTTATCGGAATTACAGAGTATTTCTTCACTTATAGAAGAGCAAAACACTGCTCTGGAGGCTTTTCTCAGAGGAAAATATGTTTTGCTCTTCTCCCGACTGGTTTCGGCAAGAGTTTGATCTTGTGGTTGTGTTTTCGTCGTCGCTCTGTTAGTACGTCATATGCTTTGTTGATCTGATTGGTTTATTTGGCCCGTCTATCACCAACATAGGCCAATCAGCTAACCAGTATTTTCGCCCCTTCCCAAAATTACTTCAACGGAAGGTTTCCAGATGGATATGCGGAGCAAATCCATCTGGCGGAGGCAGGTTAGTCCTACCCTGCTTACATGAAAAAATTGTGTTAAAGTGACTAAATATGATTAAATAAATGCCAAAAGACGTTGCATTATTATTTTTAGTAGATCTGTGTCTAAAGCTGGCGTAGATCATCATGAGATAGAAATACATGATAACAGCAAGATGGCTTTGCTAAATGTTAGCTTGAAACTTGCTGCTCTATAAATCTTTTACAGAACTTCAAAATATCAGCTTATCTTTCTACATCGGGGCTAAATCCAGTTTTTTGGACAGGCAGCGATGGAGCTCATGATCCATGATGAAAGGCCTCAGTTTGACGCAGCTTTCCTCAGTTCCTGGCCTGACCTGGTGACCTTCACTGCAGCTCATCGCCCCTAGTAACCATTGAAATAAATTAGTGTTGCGTCCATACCATTTTTTTTAAATCTGATACCGAAACGTGGCTGCGCAGTGTCGTCCGACACGATACCATCTGAAATTAATGTATGTGTGTATATATGATAGGGATGGAACGGTTTATGAAAACCGTCCGAACCGTTCGGTTCGACTGTCACGGTTCGGTTCGCGTGTGTTGCGTTCGGTTCATGCGCTGCTCCTTTTTCTCATAGGCGAAGCGATTACACTCCAGAGCAGAAGGTGGCGGTACTGCGACCAAAGCCAACCACCAGTAGTAAACAAGAAGAAGAAGCGAAGCAGCGTAGCCGGGTGTAGCAGAAAAAAATCAGTTGTTGTGGAGAATTGTGTGGGTATGGCGAGTGGGAAAGAACAGGAGTTGGAAGATGCGCCAGCAGCACTTTATAGCAGACATGTTCACAAGTCATTTTTTGCAAGTCCAAGTCAAGTCTCAAGTCTTAAGAGCTCAAGTCCAAGTCAAGTCTCAAGTCTTGAGAAGGCCTGTCACAATTATCAATTAATCGCACAATAAATTCTAATCACTCGATTAATTAAAATAAGTGCAATAATTTGCGTGCTTGCTTGTTTCTCCTTGTGTTTTCATCTCCGTCACTGAAACGGTATAGCTTAACACTAGAACTACCAGGATTTTTCTGCCTACCTTGAACTACCAGAGAGGGGTCAATTGACCTGAAAAAATCCACTAAAAACTATACTAAAAGCTTGCCTTAGGGTTCCCTTCCCCACACAGGCTCAAGCGACTCTGTGACAGCTATGAGCTGCTAACAGCTACATTTCCACAACAAAAGGAGTGTCCGCAGGAGGTCCAAAGGTCAAATGACCCTCTTGTAGGGCTTTTAGGTAAAAAGGACAATTGACCCCTCCGTAGTAGTTCTAGTGTTAAAGGTCACTATTATATCTATGGAATGTTATCTTGAACTGGTAAATGAAAAATACAATTTAAAAAAGCACACACGCAATTTTTTTTCCAGTTAAATATTGCATCTTAATTTTATTTTTTTCAAAAACAACAATTTTCTTACAGTATTTACCTGACATTTGTGGTTACAACTTTTTCTAGTTTTAGGAGTAAATGTCTGCTCTTTTATTTTTAAGTGAAAATGAGGGCTGTGGAAAAAAAAACCAAATACAATGCTGCTTTTTATTAATACATATGAAGTTAGCAACTACAACAGATAAAGAAAAACTCTAAATAAATACCAGAACAATAACAATTCTTTCATAAAAGAAACATTGTGGCAATAACTTTTTGTAACTTAATGCCCTGTAACAGACAGAACCAACTTGGCGGGCAGTGTTTTAAATTTAATTTAGTTTATTTATTTAGTGCCAATTCACAACATTATTCACAACATATTTCTGCTCTACGACTACGAAGTTTTTAAAGCTTGGCTTGTCGATCATGCATGCACGCGCACGGGCGCGCGGGCATATATGTCACATAGCGTTGCGTCAGTGACGTCAGTGCTACGTGACAGTTTGACAGCCCCTCTGCCGTTTTTTTATTTTATTTTATTTTTTACCTCTGCTGTGTGCGGGTAAGGCAAGCGGCGATCAGTAAAATTAGTAAAACAAAAAACACTTAAAAATAAAATGTTGTTCACAAGTCAGAAATCACGAGTCTCAGTCGAGTCTGAAGTCCTTCAAATGCAAGTCTAAGTCGAGTCTAAAGTCATTAAATATGCGACTTAAGTGCGACTCGAGTACGAGTCACAAACTCGAGTCCCCATCTCTGCTTTATAGGTCTGCTGTATGGGACCACTTTGCATTTAGAGTGACCTACGATGACGGCGGAAAGAAAGTTGTGGATAAAATTGCGACAGTGTGCAAGCATTGTGCAACACGTTTTGTTTATGCTAACAGCAACATGACCAACATGTCAGGCTAACCCCGAAATCCCGCATACTCCGTCAGCGCTCCGTCAGTGCTCAGTGAACCGTTCCACCCCTAATATATGAAGAACTGCAGACTACTTGGATGTAAAATAATTGCCATCATGGTTTGTCAAGCTGCTGCCTATAGTTGAAGAAACTTTTGGCTCTCAAAATGGTATCAGTGCCTTATTGGTTGGTACTCGCTGATACCGATACCATGATTTTAGTGCTGGATCGGGGCCCCGCCCGATACTGGCAGAGATGGCAAAAGTACTCACTTTCCGTACTTGAGTAAAAGTACAGATACTTGTGTTAAAAAATACTCTGGTAAAAGTGGAAGTACTGATTAAACTTCTTTACTCAAGTAAAAGTAACAAAGTACAGGCTTGTAAATTTACTTAAAGTATAAAAGTAGAAGTAGAAACCACTTTTTTCATGCCGTTGCCTACATTTTAAATGGATGTCTGCCAATAGGACTAGATCTCCGTTGTGTTCATTTTCAATCATCTCGTCGTCCATGCTACTATGCTAACGCCACCGCCACCAAGCTGCAATGATTTGCCGCCAATGAATACCGCCGAATCTGTCGATTCATCTTGTAGTGGTGCGTCAAATGCAACGTAGATTCCCATCCAATTAGATTGAATTTGGTATTGATGACGTGAAAAATAATAACGGTAACTCCATTGAAATGATATTTGTGTAAAAATGTAAGGAGTAGAAGTAAAAAGTCGCCATAAAAATAAGTAGTAAAGTAAAGTAAAAATATCAGAAAAATCTACTTGAGTATAGTAACGAATCCATCTCTGGATACTGGTATCGCTATCGGTGCAACACTAAAATAAAGAACCCTAGAGCCAAAGATTAAAACAAAAAACATTTTCCAGGCGATCGCTCTCTTTTTTTTCTCCTCCAATTTTCCTCACATCGACCAGATTCTGTGTAATTGGGTGATTTTCAACTTCAATAATCAAACTTTCCCCATCAATATGGGGAGAATACTGCAACGCTGTTCTCAGGTAGCACGACTTTAACATTTTTCTACTAGGGCCAAATAATAAGCAGCTGTTTTTTTTGGAAATTATTCCAGTTTGGAGTAAAAACGGATTTAAAAAAAAGACCATTCAAGTACTAAGTATCTGTTTTACTATTTAAAAAGATCTTGAAAGACAAAGTGAAATAAACATGCAAAACTGTTCTTTCTCAGGGTTAAAAAATTTATTCATACAAATAAAAGTGCTCAGGCGAAAGAAACACTTCTCTAAATCCAGTTTTTTAGCATAAAATGTAGGAAACCATTTCTTAAAGTAGATAATTTAGGTATGATAGATCAGGGTAAACTAGCTCTAGTAAAAATATAAACATTTTATGGTAAAACTCAGAAAGGTCTCAGCAGATAAAAAAAACAAAACAAAGATTTTCTAAATGGGAAAAAAAGAATACTCTGTGTTTCTGCTGGATTTGAGTTTAAATAGTGAATATTTTGTATTTGGAGAACAGAACTGCTTGATAAGTTTACTTACAGAGGGCTAAAACTCTTCTAAAAGTACTTATTGGTTAACGAGCTACACAAGCAAAGGTAACTGAGTGTAACTAGTAAATACCCATCTGTGACAACGACGATGATGACGATGATCATGATGATGATGATGGCAGTACTGGTTTATACACTGGAAAAAAAATCAAAATCTAGATAAGTCCTTTTTTTTTTAAATAAGTGCATCTGTTCTTGGATTGAGGAGATAAAAGACATTTTGCCAAATGAACAAGACAATTTAAAATTTAAAATAAGAAAAGAACAATTGCATGTCTTCATGTATTTTATATTAAGAGTAAAAATACTCATTTCATTGGCAAATTATCTCATTTACCTGCTCAAATCAAGGTTAAACACACCTAATTTAAGACATTTTTACTTATTTTTCGATCGTTTTTTCCAGTGTATAATACGGTCATTGCTCCTGTTTTGGTGGATTTGTTACAAACAGGAATTATTTCCTTTATCTGTCTTTTTTTCAAACGGCCATGAAATTCACAGACATTTATTATCTTGTCAAAAACTCTTACGTGTAAAAGAAAAAAAAAATGCTCATGCAGATGTTTTTTCCTGACAACGCTTCCCTCATTTCAAATGTTTTGTGTCTCTGCAGCGTCTAAAAAGCCTCTTCCTCAGCTACCAGATCCAGAGGTATCGCTTTCTAAATCTTATCTTACAAACATTTTTTTTTCCTTTTAATTGAATTCATAACAGCTATTTATAAACCCGACCGTTAAAAGTCTGTTTCTCATATAACACTGATAAGTTGAGCATATTTTGCAATATCTTTTACTCTCTAAAGTCATGATTTATATGCATGTTGTTCAGCTAATTACCTTTTATTACCTGCATCATGTGATTTCCAGGCCTTGCCTGTAGGTTCAGAGCAAAAGTCCAGCAGTATAACCTTTAGTAGCACTCTGTGGTATTTTATTTTTTTTTTTGTATAAAACTGTACACTGGAAAAACGATCTAGAAATAAGTAAAATTTCTTAAATTAACTGCATTTACCCTTAATTTGAGTAGGTAAATGAGATCGTTTGCCAGTGGAATTAGTTTTTTTAATCCTAAAATGAGACTATTAGATAACATGCACTTGAAATAAGACAATCCAATTGTCCTATTCAAATTTTCAAATGTAAATTGTCTTGTTCCATTGGCAAACTGTCTCTTTTTTTTTGCTAAATCCAAGAACAAATGCACTTATTTTAAGAAAAAAATACTGATCTAGATTTCGTTTTTTTCCAGTGTAGATTCTGTATTCTGTATACATATCTTATTTGTCTGCAACAAATAAGAAATTCCCTGTAAGTTCAAACCTACTTTGTAATGAACTTGATTCTGATTCTAAAAAACCTTTCATCTATAGGATTAAAGTTTTTGCTCGTTTTATTAGAATCATCCTTTCCTCGAAGCAACTGTGCACTGCAAAAAATGTTCTGCAAATAAGTAAAAAAATGTCTTATTTTAGGTGTATTTACCCTTAAATTGAGCAGGTAAATTAGATAGTTTGCCAATAGAGTAGTTTTACTCTTAAAATATTATAATTAAATAAAATGCATGTCATAAATAAGACATTTTCCCTCTTTTAATCCAAGAAAAAAATGCACTTATTTTAAGAAAAAATTACTTATCTAGATCTGGATTTCTTCCAGTGTGTGGCTACACTGGAAAAATGATCTAGAAATAAGTTAAAATTTCTTAAATTAAGTGTATTTACCCTTAATTTGAGTAGGTAAATGAGATAGTTTGCCAATGGAATGAGTATTTTACTCTTAAAATACGATAATTAGATAACATACACTTGAATTAAGACAATGAAATTGTGTTTTCTTATTTTAAATGTAAATTGTCTTGTTCCATTGGCAAAATGTCTCTTTTACATACTTAATCCAAGAACAAATGCTCTTATTTTAAGAAAAAATTACTTATCTAGATCTGGATTTCTTCCAGTGTGGCTAAGCTTGTCTTATGGTTGGTAGATGGGGCTGAGTGAATTAGGAGATCAGATGGTCATTGCTCTGCAAGACTACATGCCGCTCAGAGACGACGATCTGCCGCTTCAGAAAGATCAGGAGTATCGGCTGATTAACAGCTCCCACTCAGACTGGTGGACCGTGCAGGATGACAGGGGGTACGACTCAATACGTCAGCAAACTTCTGACTTTTTCTTTTCTTTTAATTCATTTTCAACAGCTAAAAATATTTAACTGCTTTTTTATTGTTTTTCTTTCTTGTTCAGAAATGCAGGGTTTGTGCCCAGCATTCTTGTAGCGGAGAAGAATGGCAAAAACTTTGAGCGATTCGAGTGAGTTTATATTTCCTATCTATTTGTAAATTTCTATAAAAAAATCCTTGTTTGACCCTTAAATAACCAGTTTTTGCAATCTGTCTAATTTTGCAGATGGTACAACAAACACATTAGTAGATGGGAAGCAGAGGAGTTGTTAATGAAAGAGGTAAAAAGAAAAATGATAATAACAAAAGGAGTCACAAATGTTCTGAATAACAACTACTGATGATAATTAACATGTTGCTCTTGCTTGGGGGGGAAAAAGCACTTTTGTTGTGACTGTACCACCTACAGCCATCTTGCTTTTGCAAAATAATGCACCTGCAAACTGACAACATGACAGAGGGAGATGAAAGAAATCTCACAACCACAGAGTTTCCTCCGATGTCAAATTGCCTGCCGCCGATGGCTCTGCTGTTTTCTGCAATATCTGCTTCTGATTGAACGGCTAATGTCATCCTGAGAGGAGCTGGGATGAAATAAACAGAAACGTTAGAAAACTCTCTTCATGTTTTGTTTTCAGGGAAAAGAAGGAGCGTTCATGGTGCGTGACTCAAGACAAGTAGGAGTTTACACCGTATCGGTTTTCACCAAAGCTCCAGGGTAATTTTACATTCCTCTTATTATTATTCAATACTTATTTCCTTAAGTGCCTGATTTATGGGTTTTCTGTTTTGCTTAAATGTTTCAGAACATTAAACATTTTAGTTTTCTGGTATTTTAGGTCCAGGTAGATTAGACTCTAAAATCGTCTTATTTTAGAGTCGAAGATAAACTTACTACTAAATTGTGGAGGATTGTTGGTAATTTTTGAAAAGAGCCGCTCTTTCCACTTAAAAAAAAAAATAAAATACACATGCACAACCCTGCACCCGCTCCTGAGAGGGAACATCTATTAGATGCGTGCACGAGCCCATTTCTCCTCGTGCACGCTCTGTTTTAAAGTCATAGGGAAGTAATATTTAAATGTCAAATCATTCTGAGCTTAAACATGTATATAAATGTATCATTTATCGAACTATATTGTCCCAAAATGTAGAAAAACTTGATTTTTTTAAAAGATCCTGTATTAAAATCTGTTTTATTTTCATTATTTTCTGCAGGCCAGTTAGTTCTACTTCAGCCTGAACACCTAAATTCAACACCTAAATTTATTAATCAACGGTCATCTGTCAATCACATTTTTTTGGTCTTAGCATCTTGATTCATATGCGTTGCTAATATACGCAACGGTTGAAATCAGAATCCTTTCCTTTCCCATTGAGTTGCGTCCCAGTGTTCACGGGGATGGACGTCTGTGTCTTCGGCAGGCGTAGAGCTAACAGAACTGGCAGCGTTGCGAGGCAAGGGCTCAAACATGTACGGCTGGAAGCCTTCTACACCAAACCAAGCTTCTGCCGCCCTGGCGTCCTCTTCCACAACATCTTCGTCCCCGCTTTCCTCCTCTAAATAAAAAACGGATGACGGAGGAGACTCATCCACGACCTCCGACACTAAACTCTCCTCCTCTTGCATGTTTCCGCTGTCCATAGCGTTCCTTGACAGCGTCGTTTCTAAGTCACCAATTTAGTGCTACTTGGTCCCAATGGAATTTCCCATTGGGAACCTACTAGCACTAAGTTGCTAACTGGTTAGCAAGATGCTTCCCACAAACCGGCCACAACCAAACGTGCTTGCGAGCCTTCCACCACAACAATCCCGCCCCCTTGATAATCGACCAATCACATTCACTTTATTCAGTGGTGTAAAGTCGGGCACCACTCTGGAGAATTTGGAAATACAACTGTTGGAACAGCCGCTTCCCTACGACTTTAATTAAAATTCTATATCTTATTAGGTCAATATAAATTCAGGATTTAGGAATTTCACATATGTTTGCCTTAATTTAAGTTAAAAGTACCGTTTTCTCTAAAATCTGAATTGGAACTCAAGAAAAACCGATAAATTCAGCTGTAAAAATTTGAGTATTTTCTTTATTTGTTTTGAAAAAAAAAACATTTAGCAGATGAAAGCTGGGATCCTATCTCAATACCACTGAAGCTATCACCTTTTCTAATTAGTAAAACAGAATTTGTAAAGAAAAAAAGAAATAGATCCAAAGGACCTGTCAGTTACTTGGTCCCAATGGAATTTCCCGTTGGGAACCTACTAGCACTAAGTTGCTAACTGGTTAGCAGGATGCTTCCGACAAAATATAGTGAACTTTATAGTGAACTCAGTTAACTGACCATTCAGACAGATGATCACTGCTTTTTGCTACGTTTTCATGTAACTTAATTCAATTAGGATTTTTTTTTATTAATATGATGCATACATTAAAAAATCATCTTTATTTACATGTAACAGTGGAGCTACTGCCCCTTTTTAATGTATTGAATTTGTGGCACGTTGGTTTCTCCGTACCTGCTGCAGTCCAACTCATTTAGTGATTTCTGCTAAAAATGTTTCGGTGAAAAACCTTTGAGGTTCTGCAGTTGGATCCTGTTTTTCGCAGCCGTGCACCTCCAGCCTGAAACTGCAGCTGCACAGTTAGACCCTCCAGGACGTCACGTCACGTCAGGCTGCAGCAGAAACAGAGCTAGCTAAACGCTACCTCCCTAATTATTACTTCATTTAGTAAAGATACACTAATAATGAGCTCCATCAGATTCTGATGTCGCTTTTAGAAGGAGAAAATAATAATAGCAAAATGTTACAGTTTGTTTTCCTCACAGTTAGGACTTTATTTGACCATGTTTTTGTCATTTAAAACATGTTTCACACTCAGATCGAATGGAGAGAAGAACCCCAGAGTGAAACATTATCAAATACGGCAGACAGACACAGAGAAGAAAGCGTTTTACTTGGCAGAGAAATATCTGTTCAGCACCATTCCTGAGCTGATCCATTACCACCAACACAACGCTGCTGGTGAGTCTCTGCTCTCTGCATTCAGAACTGAACCGATTTACAATGATGCGTACATTTCATCACTGCTGAACTAAAAAAATTTAAATGTCTTGAGAGATGCACTGAAAAAAATAATGCAAGCTTTTATGGCATTTACTTAATCCTATTTAGTTCAATCTGAAAAACTCACAAGATTAGAAGACATTTATTTATACAATTACTTTGGCGCTCAGACCTCGGCAGGAAACATTAGTGCTGAATTTTGATAGATATGCATGAACAGGAGTAAAGAACAGACGGACGGTCTGCTGAGCTTTACGGGGAGATCCAGTGGACTGCGTGAGCTGATACTAGAGCTTCACTCAGGGACCTGGAAGATAGAAGTCCAGCTTGAATAACAAAGGTCGAGAGAACCTGTCCATGATGAGCAAGCATGAAGCTACAGTGGAGAGGAAAAACTCCTCGTTGGGAAGAAACCTCTGGCAGAACCAGGCTCAACATGGCGGTCTTCTGCAGGACCGGTCGAAATGAGACGCAGAACGCAGTAAAAGTCCGGGAAGAATGACGCTCTGATGAAGCTTTAGCTAGGATGGTGGAGGAGGGGATGGAGGGGGAAGGAAACGGGGTCATCTGAATGATGTCACAGCGCATCCACCGCCTGCACAGGAGCAGACGAGTTACGGACCGGAGGCCTTTTAAGATGAACTTTGGATGCCGATTGGTTTTCTTGGAGGCGTGGTTCAAAGCTGATTGGCTGCGTCGCAGGCAGATGAAGGCGAGTGATCAGTTTCTTCAGTTGAACTTCCGCCTAGGCTCCATTTACTTTAAACAATTGTTTATGTCCTACCAGGCTTATATGAAAAAATTATGTTAAAGTAACTAAATTTGATTAAGTAAATGCCAAAAACGGTTGCATTATTTTTTTCAGTGCACTGAATGAAATTTCTTTTTGTATACACTGTGTGTAAAAAGTCTAAGTCTAGTCTAAGTCTAAGTAAACAGCCAAAAGGAAGAGTTCCTCATGACATGAGAAACGTTGGGAAGAATCATGTGACTCAGATGAAGCGACTGAGCTTCCACCTGTTTCATAACCTTGCATAACCGCTGTGTGTGCAAACTTCCTGCCTGACAGGTCTGATAACGAGATTGAGACACCCCGTCACCAAAGGAGAACGAAGCTCCCAGGAAATCGCTCATCCGTCAAAAGGTTCGATTATAAACTTGTTGTATAAATTCAACTGGAACTCTGTGACCTTCATTCACACCAGTTGTATAAAGTTAACTGGAAATAACCAACACTTGCTGCGCTGCTGAAACCTTGTATTTTGCTGACCTCTTGTGGTTTATTGAAAGGCTGGCAATAGATCCACAGTGAAATGCAGTAAAACTGTTGGTCACCTTCAGATTTTATCATAAGTTAAGGCACTTTAGGGTTTTTGGTTTTGGTTTTCAAGAAAAAAAAACGAATTGCCTGAAAGAACACGGGCCTGTGTGTCTGTCTGGCTTCATTGTCTCTGGTTATATTAAACAGCAGCTTCATAAATCCAAGGAGCTCTGTGTGAACGGGTGCATAAAAGTGAGGTGGAGCTCTGATTAATATTATGCCACTTTTACAGGCGACAGTAGGCTGAAAAACTATAAGACAAACCCCAACAAATTCTGCTATGACATACGCAAATGTTGTCAATTTGTTGTCAAGATATTCTAAACTAACCAGGTTACCGTCACACTAACTGCTGAAATATACGGAGCCCCTCTGATGACATGGTCAAAAAAAATGTTTAATTGTGGCCACGAAGTAGTATTTCGCGGCCACGCAATAAGTATAACGTGCGCACGAAATACTACCTTTGTGGCCACGCAATAAGTATAACGTGCGCACGAAATACTACTTCGTGGCCACGCAATAAGTTTAACGTGCGCACGAAATACTTATTAATAATATCAATAAATCCGCCCCTGTTTTCAGGCTTATGTTAACTGTAATGACTTATCTTGGACAGGCTGCTATGTAAACGGGCCTTTAGTCCTTTGTTTAGCTATGCTGCGGTTGTTTACACTACGCCTTTTCCACCTAAAATGGCGTCTTAGCAACAAATGTCACGTGACTGGCGGAGACCGACTGGGTAAGCAAATCGAGCGCGCCTTAGACCTTAGAGAAGGCTCGCTCGATTTGCTTACCCAGTTGTCCAGGAATGATATTAATATTATTAATAAGTATTTCGTACGCACGTTATACTTATTGCGTGGCCACGAAATACTACTTCGTGCGCACGAAATACTACTTCGTGACCACAATTAAAACATTTTTTTTACCATGTCATCAGAGGGGCTCCGTAGAAATAAAAGCTCATTCGAATAAATAAGGATAAGTACTTTTTTACTTAAATAGAAATTTTGGATATGTATACTTTACTGGAGTAATTATTTCTTAGACAACTTTTTACTTCTATTCATTTGCTTTGTTTCATTTCTACTCATTCTTGTTATGACCTGTTGATAAAAAAAAAAAAAATTGAAATAAATTGAAAAAATTACTTGTTTTATCCAGACAATTAATTTCTTAGTGGTTTTGCCCCAATTTGTTGTTCACCACATACCAAAGAAATAGTTTTTCAAAATAATACAAAGTTAGAAAAATGTTCTATTAATAGAGTAGAGCAGTAAGGCTTCTGTCCTTTATATGTTTTCCTGCATTACTTTTACTTTTATACTTTATGTAGTTTTAAAGATTATACTTTTTTGAAAAACGATTAAGTTGATCCTCTAACTTCTACAAAAAATGTTTTTAAACGGCAGGATTTATACTGGAGAGATAAACATTAAAACATTTGACACCTCTGCTTATAACCAGCTGGGGCGGATTTTTCCATCAGGCAAAACTAGGCAGCTGCCTAGAGCCCCAAGCTCCTGGTGGTCCCATAAAACTCTGTTTACATGTATGGTTAATTTAAATATTCCTTATTTGTGCACATTAAATATGTTTTTGATAAAAATCCTTTTGCTAAAATGCCACGCTTATGATAAGTGTGCCCCCCCCCTTCAGTGTCCACCATATTGGATCAGTCCATTTGCTGCACATGTTCAGAAAGGTCCAAACAGACAGCAGCAAACCATTTGAAAACAAACCATGCAAAGAGCAGTGTTGCCAACTTAGCGCTTTAGTCGCTATATTTAGCCACTTTTCAGACCCCTCTAGCACTTTGATTTCTAAAAAGCTCCTAGCGCCAAATCTAGAGACTTTTTTCTGCTACTGGAGACTTTGGAGACAACATCTAAAAGCAGCGAACTCTGCTCTCCAGAGCAAGTAGATTGGTAACCCCGCCTCCTGCTCTCCTCTATCTTGTCTGCTGTCATGATTCATGCAGCTATTATTTCATCCAAATGAAAAATGGAGAACAGATAAGCAGATCATGGCTTGTCTACAGTGAAAAGAAGGACTGGGTTATTTACTTTGGCCTTTTTGGAAACACAGGAAGGAGCAATCAGCTAAGTGAGCTTAGTGCTTGGAAAAAATCTTTCATTCCTTTAGAGACAGCATGAAAAGTCAGCTGAGTACAAAACATAGAGAGGAAAACAAGAAGAAAAGGGACAAGAAGAGAGGGACACAACCTGGAACAGATAATGGATGTCTATTCTATTAACATTTATCTATCTGGAGAATGGGTCTGTTTTATTTGTTGTATTCTCATTCCTCCAATCATTCAGAGGGCCCCCTGCCTGTCTTTGCCTGGGGCCCCAAATTTCCTAAATCTGCCCCCGATAACCAGTAGTCTAGTTGTAAAAAAAAAAAAAATTAGGCTATGTATGCTTTTTGAGGAAGCATACATAGCCTAATTAATATAGTCTATTAACTTAAAGCACTATGCATGGTCTGGTTGTTCCATGTCAGGTACGCTGGTCATTAAACCTGACAGTAGAACTGCAGTCAGTCCCTGGACTGGCATGGCTATCATTGCCCCTACATATTTAGCATGGCTATCACTGCCCCTACATAGTTAGCATGGCTATCACTGCCCCTACATAGTTAGCATGGCTATCACTGCTCCTACAGAGTTAGCATGGCTATAACTGCTCCTACAGAGTTAGCATGGCTACCACTGCCCCAATACAGTTAGCATGGCTATCACTGCCCCTACACAGTTAGCATGGCTATCACTGCTCCTACAGAGTTAGCATGGCTATCACTGTCGCTACACTGTTAGCATGGCTATCACTGCCCCTACATAGTTAGCATGGCTATCACTGCCCCTACACAGTTAGCATGGCTATCACTGCTCCTACAGAGTTAGCATGGCTACCACTGCCCCTACACAGTTAGCATGGCTACCACTGCCGCTACACTGTTAGCATGGCTATCACTGCCCCTACATAGTTAGCATGGCTATCACTGCCCCTACACAGTTAGCATGGCTATCACTGCTCCTACAGAGTTAGCATGGCTATCACTGCCCTTACACAGTTAGCATGGCTATCACTGCTCCTACAGAGTTAACATGGCTACCACTGCCCCTACACAGTTAGCATGGCTATCACTGCCCCTACATAGTTAGCATGGCTATCACTGACGCTACACTGTTAGCATGGCTATCACTGCCCCTACATAGTTAGCATGGCTATCACTGCCGCTACACAGTTAGCATGGCTATCACTGCCCCTACATAGTTAGCATGGCTATCATTGCCACTACAGAGTTAGCATGGCTATCACTGCCCCTACATAGTTAGCATGGCTATCACTGCTCCTACAGAGTTAGCATGGCTACCACTGCCCCTACACAGTTAGCATGGCTACCACTGTCCCTACACAGTTAGCATGGCTTTCACTGCCCCTACATAGTTAGCATGGCTATCACTGCCGCTACACTGTTAGCATGGCTATCACTGCCCCTACATAGTTAGCATGGCTATCACTGTCGCTACACTGTTAGCATGGCTATCACTGCCCCTACATAGTTAGCATGGCTATCACTGCCCCTACACAGTTAGCATGGCTATCACTGCTCCTACAGAGTTAGCATGGCTACCACTGCCCCTACACAGTTAGCATGGCTACCACTGCCGCTACACTGTTAGCATGGCTATCACTGCCCCTACATAGTTAGCATGGCTATCACTGCCCCTACACAGTTAGCATGGCTATCACTGCTCCTACAGAGTTAGCATGGCTATCACTGCTCCTACAGAGTTAGCATGGCTATCACTGCCCTTACACAGTTAGCATGGCTATCACTGCTCCTACAGAGTTAACATGGCTACCACTGCCCCTACACAGTTAGCATGGCTATCACTGCCGCTACAGAGTTAGAATGGCTATCACTGCCCCTACATGGTTAGCATGGCTATCACTGCTCCTACAGAGTTAGCATGGCTATCACTGCCCCTACATAGTTAGCATGGCTATCACTGCTCCTACAGAGTTAGCATGGCTACCACTGCCCCTACACAGTTAGCATGGCTACCACTGTCCCTACACAGTTAGCATGGCTATCACTGCCCCTACAAACTGCCAAAAAAACTAAAACGTTTACTGCTCGAATGGAAAGAACAAAATAAGCTCAGTTTCACTTAATGAATAGAACGATGTGGAGCAAATATCTAAGTGAACTGGAGGATCATTGCGGCTGTTTAGCTCTAGTTTGCTGTTCTTAACAGATCAATGGGAGATAAACCCAGAGGAGCTGGATCTGGGTCAGAAGATCGGCTGCGGACAGTTTGGGCTCGTCTTGGAGGGGAAGTGGAGGGACAGGAAGGTGGCAGTGAAGATGGTCAAAGAGGAGTGCATGTCAGACGAGGACTTCAAAGAAGAGGCGCAGGTCATGATGTGAGTACGCCAGATAGGTTTGGTGAGTTGTGCCAAGCAGCTTTCTGAAGCATGCGTGTGCTTCTGCAGGAGGTTGTCTCACTGTAAGCTGGTGCAGCTGTATGGCGTGTGCACGCAGCGCTCCCCCATGTGTCTGGTGTTTGAATACATGGAGAACGGCTGCCTGTCAGACTACCTGCGCGAGAAGAAAGGTCGTCTGTCTCAGGATCTGATGCTGGGAATGTGCCTGGACGTCAGCGAGGGGATGGCGTACCTGGAAAGCTCCAACTTCATCCACAGAGATCTGGTAAAATCATTAAAACTGGCTTTCCTTCTACGTTGTCTCTCATATTTCAAGTGTTTTTTTCTCTTTGGCCCTACAGGCTGCAAGGAACTGTCTTGTTTCGAAGAACAACGAGGTGAAGGTGTCTGATTTTGGCATGACCAGGTAGACTGTCCTCAGACTTTCTAGAGGTCTTTATGGGTGTCCTGTTGCATTTGTTTGACTTTTTATCCGTCCTCTGTGCGTCGAAAGGTTTGTTCTTGATGATCAGTACACAAGTTCCCAAGGCTCCAAGTTTCCTGTCAAGTGGTCGGCCCCAGAGGTCATCAAGTACTCGAAGTTCAGCAGCAAGTCTGACGTCTGGTCATTCGGTGCGTTAAGCTTTTGTTCAGCCTTTCAGTTGTTTGGTTTTTATTAGTGTTGCCCTAATGCCATTTTTTGGCCCCGATACCCGATATCTGGGTGTTCAGTATTGGCCAATACCGATACCATCTGTTTAAAATTGATGTGTGTGTATATGAAGAACTTTATACTACTTGGATGTAAAATAATTGCCATCATGGTTTGTCAAGCTGCCGCCTCCCTTTGTGAAGCAGGAAAAAGACGAATCCAGTAGAACTTTTTATTGCCTACCTGGAATGGTGACAATAGTTGAATAAACGTTTGGCTCTCAAAATGGTATCGGGACCCTATTTGTTGGTACTCGCCGATACCGATACCACCATTTTAGTGCTGGATTGGGACCCCACCTGATACTGGTATCGGTATCGGTGCAACACTAGTTTTTATGCTGACATATTATCTTTAAACTACGGATTTTCTCTTCTACCATATTCTGTAGCTTTAAAATGAAACCAGCGGACCAGATTGACGTGTATTAAACTGGTGAAACTTTGGCTACGTTCACACTGCAGGCTTTGATGCTCAATTCCGATTTTTTTTGCGAAATCCAATTTTTTTGCGAAATACGATTTTTTTGCGTTGCCGTTCATATTTCCAAATATATGCGACTTGTATGTGATCTTCTGTGTGAACTGCAGTCATACAACGCAAGTGTCCCGCATGCGCAGTAGAGGAAATCCTATACACTATTGTTTATGCTCTAAAAACATTCTAAATGACTTCGTTTCGAGTAAATTCTGGACGCTACCCACTCAGGACACTTGGAATACATTGGACGAGCAGTATGGAGGAATATTGACACGTTTTTTGTGGACTTTTATGGACCTTTCTGTCTCGGTCATGGGGGTGAGTAGAAAATGAAGGCTAATCATGTTTTGGGTGTACTATTCCTTTAAACTTCTTTACTCAAGTAAAAGTAACAAAGTACTGGCTTGTAAATGTACTTAAAGTATAAAAGTAAAAGTAGAAACCACTTTTTTCATGCCGTTGCCTACATTTTAAATGGATGTCTGCCAATAGGACTAGATCTCCGTTGTGTTCATTTTCAATCATCTCGTCGTCCATGCTACTATGCTAACGCCACCGCCACCAAGCTGCAATGATTTGCCGCCAATGAATACCGCCGAATCTGTCGATTCATCTTGTAGCGGTGCGTCAAATGCAACGTAGATTCCCATCCAGTTAGATTGAATTTGGTATTGATGACGTGAAAAATAATAACGGTAACTCCATTGAAATGATTCAAAACTAAAATGTAAGGAGTAGAAGTAAAAAGTCACCATAAAAATAAGTAGTAAATTAAAGTAAAAATATCTGAAATATCTACTTGAGTACAGTAACGAAGTATTTGTACTTCGTTACTTCCCATCTCTGATTAACTAACCTAACTAACTAACCTTTGATGACCTCTAGAAACATCTCTTTATATCTTTAAAATCAAAGCGGCACAAACTTGCTGCACAAACGTAGCACCAATTCTGTCTGATTTCAAGAAGGTGGGGGGGCCAACTTCACTCAGGTTTTTTGCGTGAAGTTTGCATGTTCTCCCTGAGCATGCATGGGTTCTCTCCGGGTACTCCAGCTTCCTCCCACAGTCCTAAAACATGACTGTTAGGTTAATTGGCTTCTCTAGATACTCCTTAGGTGTGAGTGTGAATGGTTGTTTGTCCTGTTTGTCTCTGTGTTGTCCTGCGATGGACTGGAGACCTGTCCAGGGTGGACCCCGCCTCTCACCCGTAGACAGCTGGCACCATCACCCCTCACCACCCCTCTTGGGATAAGCGTGACGGAAAATGGATGGATGGATATTAAATTAGATATAAATAAATTAGATCCGTTTAGGTAAATATATTTAAAAAGAGAATATATCTGTGTTTGATTCTTCCACTCAATTTAACAAACCAAATGTTAGTCAACTAAACGATGAAAAATACATTGATTGCTGAAGCGTGTTTCTTTTTTAAGATTTGCAGCATTTATGCTGCAGGACGTTGTTCAAAAATTATACAAACAGCTCCGGAAACATTTGGGAAATAAGTATTTGTTATTTTATATTTAACTAAAGTAAGTAAAAATAGAAAGGCAGAAAAAATACATTTTACTGACATTTTCACACATTTTTTAATTAAGCTCTTCAGGTACGTGTTCAACCAAGTGATGAAATAGTTTGTATGTTCTTTAAAAGAGGAAGCTGTTTTATTCAAACCTGCGTTTTCTTCACAGCTGTTTGATTGCATAATTGCAATGGTGAAAGTTTTGTGCAACATCAGGGTTATTCAGCAGGATCAGTGGGATCAATAACGTCGTAAGAGTCTGAAACAAAGGCAACTAAATGTTCGTTTGTTGCTCTACCAGGTCAAATTTTCAATTGATGCAAAACCTTAGTTGGACTTGAAATGAGGAACCCTGTCGTCACGTAGAGCTACATGACTGTTGATCCCCAGACTTAAAGGAGAAATTATAGTTGTTTACTAAATAGAATATGAAGGATATTTAGGAAAAAAGCTTTCAAACATGCTCACCTTTATTATTAATGTACAACAGTGTCTGATTGCGACATTTAGGATGTCGCTTCAATCGTGTAAGCGAGAGTTAAAAGATTAAAGACAGGGTTTCCAACTTTGTGAAAGAGAATCGAATCTAGTGTTGAAAAGTTTTAGAAAAGTCTTTTTTTTTCTTTTATGTTTGATGCAAATTAAAGTCATGTATTTTACCTATTTCTACTGTTTGCATTATGTTGGTGAAGATTCTCAGTCATCCAGGTCAATCCAAAAAAAAATGAAAACAATCTACAGGACTTTGTTTCCAAGTTTGAAGATGTTTCTCTTCCATTCAGGAAGGTTTTTCAATTCAAAATGTCAGAAATAGCGTTGAGTAGAGTACTGCTTCTGGTCCCCGACGGGTCACCCACTAAAATGCTCTTTTGCGGGTAAAAATTACATAAATAAAAATAAACGGGACGGGGGTTGGGTGGATATTTTTTTAGTGTGCGCGGGTAGTTGGTGATTTTTTTTTTTTATGCGTGTGTATTGCTATGGACATCAGAAATGTTATTTTAATCAGGCACTGTCTGGGGTCACCCTTGTTGTAGCTTAAAGCCTAGCCGGTGTAGGTACCAGATTGACTCGGGCTGCCAGATTGACTCGGGGGCCTGCGCCTTTTGATGACGTCACAATACATAATTGTTTTAACGTTTGCACAATTGCGCAAAACATTTTGATTGGTCTGGACAGCTTACTAAAGTAATTATAGCGGGGTGTAGGTTTTATTCGAAAGCGGGATTGCGGTTTGTAAACGGACAATTTTACGAAGAAATTCTCCATGGTCCCTGCGCCTTCCGATGACGTCACCGAATTCGCCATGGGCCTTGCGCCTCCCGATGACGTCACATTATGGCAACGCCACTCAAACAAACTACATTGAGCCCGCGGTCTGCATTTGTAACGAGAATAAATTCAGGAGAATAAAGCTAAAGGGATACAAAAAATAAACTTGTAATATTACAAAAACAAAAATACTACAAATACAAAGTATATTCAAAGATTAAAGTCCCTCTGATACTGTTTAAGTGACTGAGAAACTGCAGATTTGCCACATTTAAGATGGCGGACGCTCTGACGCATCTCAGCATAGGTGCAGGCGCCCGAGTCAATCTGGTACCTACACCGGCAGTGTGGGCTTCCCTCCAAAAAGGCCACAGTCAGTCCATACACGTCTGCTGCAGTGTTAATGGCGCTGCTCTGCAGCACAGCGTACTATAGCCTATTACTTGATGTGTTAACGGGTCGGGTTGCGGGTTAAATATCAACGGGTCGGGTTCGGATTTGAATTGAAGATATCCGCGGGTGACGGGTCGGGTTCGGTAGTCATCCTAACGGGTTCGGGCGGGTGCGGGTTGGTAAAACTCTACCCATGCAGGACTCTAGTGTTGAGTTCCAGTTTTTATCCAGCAGCCCAACAAAGCCTGGTTTTTGTTTAGAAAACATGCAAATAGAAACGGATGAACGGGTCCCCCCCTTTGGAATGGGGGTCGTTTGGCTTCTTTGTTAGCCTGCAATGCCCCATACCTGTCTATGGCCTGGCTGAAGAGACGAGGTCTTCTGTTCTCCTGTAAAGGGGTTGGGGCTACGATGATAGCGGGAAGGAATCAACTCTATCGCTGCATTGTAGATTTTTGAAAGCTGAGCCCAAACTGTTTTTTTGTTTTTTGACTTGTTTTGGAAAACTGTTTGCATTCGACATTCCACAGATGAACTTTACAATGCCTTAAAAATGGAATGTTTATTTTACCCTAAAATGTTGACTGTCCAAGTCCAAGTTTCTTGGAGATATTTAAGTGCCTAATTTATTACACTACAAGTTAATGGTAAATGGTTAGAAGATTAGAAGGCCTCAATAATGACAGACTTATGCTTTCACCATCCCAATAAAATAACACAGCAGTATGGCAATAATACTACAAGGTAACTTTATAGAAAATCTCCACAAATTAGAGCCGTCCTGATAGTAAATTCTGCTGGATGATATACTGGGTGAGAAATCTTTCTAATAACATTGTGAATGGGTTTAAATTCAAAACGCTCCCACGCTGCAGCTGTCGTATTCTGCTTCCATCTTTGTTTTTCCATCTGACAGCATTTTTCTGACTCGCTACTTTTCAGTTGAGGCTCGTATGTTACGATAGCTGCACAAAGCAAATGCTAAAGGCACGAGAGGCAAACCTTTTTATCATCCAAACTCTTTAGTTAAAAGAGACAAAAGAAAAAACAAGCCTGCAAATATCAATCATTGAGCTCATTTGAGTTTCTCGTGTAAATAATTAGTATTATGTTATTAATCGATTTATATTTATCCTTAAAAACCTACCATACATTTCTCCACTTACAGCTTAGTCTTTCCGTGGCATCTCAGCTTGTTCTCTCTTTTTTCAACAATGCATCCAGGATTTTTTTTCCTTTTCTTTATTTTCAAGCAAAACTTGACAACTTTGAGTTGCCAATAAACTAGTTTGACAATTTCTTAAAAAACGTTGATTTGCCGAATCAGAAAATTGGGCAGAAACATCAATTAAGACAATAACATCATCTGCGTATGAGGATGATTGTTCCTTATTTTGTTCCTATTGTTCCTATTTTGACGAAAATATTGCTAAGAACTCAAATGAAATCAAAAATAACTAAAACATAAAATGGAAATAATACTGAATGAAAACTCAGAGATAAAACTTGAACAGAACCAAAACCATGACAGACAAAATCATGACGCCGAGTTTAAATCAAGGGTGTTTGACTCTTTTTCATTTTAATAGAGCCAATATTAATCCTAAAGGCATCTATCTGATTGACAGGTGTGCTCATGTGGGAGGTGTACAATGAGGGGCGTCTTCCCTACGAGAACCGCTCTAATTCAGAGGTGGTGGAGTCCCTGAACTCCGGCCTGAGGCTCCTGAAGCCGCGGCTGGCCCCGGACGCTGTCCACATGCTGATGGAGTGGTGCTGGAAGGAGGTAGGAACACGGCGAGTTAAACGACTCCCCGATGACATCAGAGCTCTCATAGATCATTCGCTGTTTTCCTCAGAAACCAGAAGATCGTCCGTCGTTTGCTCTTCTCCTGCATGAACTGGCCGCCCTCTCTGACCTCTGAGCTGAATCAAGATTAAAGATCATTTTAAGCACATTCTTATTTATTTATTTATTCAGTGATGATTTTGCAAAGGGTTGTATATTACATGTATTTTATGTGGATGTAGCACTTTATTTTCTTCCTATCTAACCTGAGAAGTTCATTTATAAAGATAATGTGATTGT